AATGAGTTTAAATGCATCTTCTAGTATAATAATTTAATAAATCTAATAATCTAACAGGTCTTCTAATTTAATAAATCTTCCAATCTAATAATCTAATAAATGTAATGAATCTAATAAATCTCGAAAGATTTAATGTTCGTAAATAATGTGGTACTTTATAATATATCGAATATTTCGATGATGGGTAAATACTTCAGGAAATATACATTTGAAATTTCTGTACAAATAGCGCATCGCACATACATTTGTGCAATATACGTTGTTTTATATGCAAATTTATCTGTACTTCCATATTTATTTCATGTAATACGTTATATATTATATCATTACGATTAATTCGCTTTCATTTTGTAGTATGAGAAAATATGCGCAAGCAGTAGTGAAGCATAATGCAATTGCAGAGAAATAACACAACGTACCCACTTACAGTATCTATTCGGACAGTGTGACACATATTCTATGAATTTCCCTCATATTGAATTTTCCGCGAAATATTAAATAACATATTCTAATATTATATATAAATGGATTTAGTATTCAATGCTTTATAATTTTCTTTAGATAAACTTAAAAATTTTGCCATGGTAATGAGTGCAGAAGGGGATGGTTAAAATTTTGACTTTTTTTTTAATTGAATGCACCGTTTCAAAGATCATAAAATATTGTAAAACTTTTGTTTGAAACATTTTTCCATATACCTCGTATTTTAAAAGATATTTGCTAAAAATGGGAAAGGCCATTTTCTTCAAGGGGTTGTTTCAACTCCTAAATCTGAAAATATGCCCATATAAAGAGTGTCCCAAAATTTACGCAAGAAGTAATTTTGATAGAAAACATAGGTTTATAATTAAAAACTGTTGTAAATTTTTTATTGATTCATAAAGTATACAATATAGGGTTACATATGGTATAGCATATCGGGTAAACGGCCACAGCGAAGAGAGTTCGTTGAATGGATTATGGAACAACAACAAGTGGATGCTGATTTTCCGAACAAAATCATCTTCAGCGATGAGGCTCATTTTCATCTTGATGGCTTGGTTAATCAACAAAATTGTCGTATTTGGGGTTCAGAAAATCCACGAGTGATTGTTGAGAAACAAATGCATTCACAACGTGTCACTGTTTGGTGCGGATTTTGGGCTGGAGGCATCATCGGACCATTCTTCTTCGAAAATGCGGCTGGTCAGGCAATAACAGTTAATGGTGCTCGCTATCGCGACATGATAAACCAGTTTTTTGTGCCTAAATTGCAAGATATGGATGTGGACGACATGTGGTTTCAACAAGACGGTGCCACATGCCATACAGCCCGAGAAACAATTCAATTACTGCATGAGTCATTTCCTGGTCGTGTAATTTCCTGTTTTGATGATCAGATTTGGCCGTCCAGATTATGCGATTTAACGCCGCTGGACTTTCTTCTTTGGGGTTTTTTGAAGTCTAAGGTTTATGCCAACAAGCCCACGAGCACCCACGCCTTGAAGCAGGAAATTGAGCGCTGTATCAACGAAATTCAGCCACATTTATGCAAAACGGTCATGGAAAATTTCAACAAAAGAGTGCATATGTGCCAGCAAAACCGTAGAGGCCATTTACCCGATATGCTATTCCATACATAACCCTATACTGTATACTTTATGAATCAATAAAAAATTTACAATTTTTAATTATAAAACTGTGTTTTCTATCAAAATTACTTCTTGCGTGAATTTTGGGATACCCTTTAAAACAATATGAGTCTAATTTGATGCTTTACAACATATTTAAAGCGTATCTCAAATCAATGAGAGATGGTTGAATACTTTCTCTTGTGAGTAATATTCAAGAAGTTTTAGCTGGCGATCATTGTTTATTAAAAAATGATTAACAAGAGAAATTTCATATATGGAACGTAACAACATATGTTTCAACATATGTTTGAATGTAAATAGTACACGAATATGAGCGGAGAGGAGCAAAGACTTTTCTCCATACCCCACACCACCCCACTAGAACGTTACTAAACGTTTAACCTAACCATATCCCATATTATTATACTTGATAAAAAATTATGTTACATAAGTTTTACTTTTATTAATGGTGTAAAGCAGAGTTGAGTTGAGTATTTTAGGATGTTTTAGTAGTGGAGCTTTTCTTTCACTCATATTCATATACTGTTTACCACATTTATATATATGTTATATCGAAAAATCACGTTTATGAAACTTTTGGTACTTTTTAATGAACAATGACCGCCGGCTAAAATTTCTTGAAGGTTACTGAGAAAGATACCTATGATAATATAAGAAGTAAAAGTCACCGGCGAGGTGTCTACAATATGCATAATTACCAAAAATTACCTCTATTGCATCCCACAGATGCAAAAATGTTGTTAGGTATAAAGATTAATATTGATATTAATTAATTCTTTTTATTATACGTATGAAAGCAATGATATAAAGTCATCAAAAAGCTAATATTTTATGAAATATTTGTATCTTGTATTAAAAGAAGGTATTTTAGAATAAAATATATTTTGGAAGGTATTTATTTTCCGCGTGATAATTTTATCCCAGTACTTTTATACATAGAATGACCAATAAAATTTATTTGCATTTAAAAATATTTTAACAATAAAAGTTATAAATATAAATATTATTTTTATATTTAAAATTACGTAAATATTTAGAAGTACACAGTCAGCTCCGATTTTAATGAGACTAGGCTCATTCAACGCGCTTTTGCACGAGAAACAAGAACAACTTTTTCCTGTGGCAAAATCGTCGCTCAGTTCCGCAAAGCGAGATATGAAGCGTTAAAGCAGATCATAATTCAGGTTAGGAAAGCTGTTATATTGATGAACTTTGGCGACATAAACATGCCTCGTAACTAACATAAACTTCCCGAGTAATATGCAAAAAGTATTAGTCCGTGCTCACTGTTCGTTAAAAAGTTATTAACAAATGAAGTTAGTGATAAGAGTTTGCACCGAGCATGTGTACGCACACACGCACGCACACACACACACACACACACACACACACACACACACAACCGAGGGGCCTTCGGCCCTCCCCCCCCCCTCGAGGGTTAACGGGTGAAGCTCGCTTCATATGGAAAGTCACATGTGAGTTTGCGACTTTCCACATGAAGCGAATTTCACCCGTTGACCCTCAAGGGGGCGTGCGGGGGGCCGAATGCCCCCCCGCACGCCCCCTTCGGTGTGTGTGTGTGTGTGTACACATGCTCGATGCAAACTCTTATCACTAACTTCATTTGTTAATAACTTTTTAACGAACAGTGAACACGGACTATAACTTTTTTCATATTACTCGGGAAGTTTATATTAGTTACGAGGAATGTTTATGTCATGTTATGAAATTGCTATTATTGGCGGGAATAATGCACGAATACACGCACTTCTCTAGGCAACGAATGTATTACTGAGCAACGATATCACAAATCGGTTTAGATATGTCAACATCAAGGTCACGGAACACTCGGAATTAGTTACGAGGCATGTTTATGTCGCCAAAGTTCATCGATATAACAGCTTTCCTAACCTGAATTATGATCTGTTTTAACGCTTCATATCTCGCTTTGCGGAACTAAGCGACGATTTTGTCACAGGAAAAAGCTGTTTCTCGTGCAAAAACGCGTCGAATGAGCCTAGTCTCATTAACCGTTTGAGTCCCAGGGGGTATTGAAAAAACACTGTCGAAGAATCCCAAACAGCGCAACCGCGCTTTCTATAAATGAGTATGAAAAGACCCAAGCAGCGCGATAGCGCTTGTTTTATTTTAGGTCGAGAAATACCAAGCAGCGCGATAGCGCTTTGTTTATTTTACATCGATGAATCCCAATCGGACCAATACCGCCTCTTGTATTTGTTAGGTAACGCGATTCTCGTCTTTTTCTCATCGCTCTGTCACATTTATTGTAGTTTGCAAAGCGATCGGACGTATTCTTGCGTAAGTGTTTCTCATTGTTAATAATTGTGTGTTTCAAAATGATTAGACGAAGCAACGGAGCAACGAAGCAAAAGGAATCCATCCAACATGTTTTGATAAACACCGATGTTACAAATTATAATTGTTACTCTCCATTTAAATTATTTGTTCATAACACAAAAATATTGTTAATTTGTAATTCGTTATTTTATAAAATACATCTGTATTATTACATATGCGTACTGTAAATTTATAAATATTTCAAGTTTTGTTCGATAAAAATTATTGAGAAGATAACAATGAAATAAAAATTTTTATTTTGTAATGTATTATTGCATTATTATAGTATTATTCTACCTATTATAAAATGTACTATTTACATTAAAAGGATCGGTGTGATATACTTGCTTCAGTAAATCTGAGCGCGCGACTTCGACAATCGGTAACGCACCGTCAGTTGTCCACAATGATCGAAATGTACTGGGTTTTCTCGACATAAAATCTGAACAGCGCGATCGCGCTGCTTGGGACTCAAACGGTTAAAATCGGAGCTGACTGTGTACTTCTAAATATTTACTAAAATTACGTTTCAATATCGATATGATGGAGTTCTGTTTTTATTGTTGCGTTATTGTTGCATATCCTTCTTTTTTTCATGGGGGGAAATTTTCATGAATATCCCCTCTTCTTGGGATAGTGGCAGGGATATTTTGCCCGACTCTTACTGGCTAAAACCCCTCCAGGGTATACGAGCCGGGCCGAAGTGGGGCAGCTGGGAAAACCGATATTACATACTCTCCCCAGTGTTGAGTCATGAGAACACCTGAGAACACGAGATTTTGACCTTCAAACACCTTTAAATGCTTTTTACATAAAAATTATCATATATTGTATTAGGATTTTTATTTCAAAATATTTTCAACAATTCTTTTCTTAAATATTGTGCAAGTACCGGGAGAGGATTCTTTAATATAAATAAAGGGGTTAATATTATTCTCTTCTTAAATTAACTTTTACTTAAACAAAATGTTACTCATGTAATATTACAAAAAATTATTGTTGTTTAAGGTAAATGGTGTTAATGTGACGCACTCTACACATACTGACGTGGTCCAGCTCATAAAATGTGAGTATATTTTCTTTCTGTGACTAAACTAAACCTAACCTAATTCATCCTAACCTAACACGTGTGTGATGTTGGCCCCGCACTTTTCGAATTTTGTATTTTTTCGAATTGTGCTGCATTGTACTACGTTTGTGCCATATTGTGCCGCAATCCGCAACTCTATAACTCAAAGCGTACTAAAAAAAATTAAGGAAAACTAAATTTCTGGTAGCCCCGCACTTTTCGAATTTTGAGTTTTTCTTTATTGTGTCATATTGTGCTAAGTTTGTGCTGATTTGTGCCGCAAACGCGAGACCGATAACTGCAATAACATTTGAGAAAAAAAGTAAAAACGTTCCACAACTTATTGTAAACGAAGTTTAACTCGTTAACCCTAGTTTAGACGAAAAATTGCGTTCCACAACTGCCTTAACCATGGTTAACGTTGATTTCTCACAGTTAAAGTTAAACCCAAAACTTTGGGCGTTTAATGAATTTAAACGAAGTTTAACACTGCAATACCATCAACTTGAGAAAAAAATTTATGACTATCCCGGTTTTGGAGTTCAGTTGACAAATATTTTGAACGTTTGAACACCAAAGAGATATGGTTTTAGAATATATATTATCTTCATCTAAAGATGAAGATTTTGAAAACCTAATTTATCGACGGACAAGAAATATAAGAATAAGACGACCATCATATTTGGAAGAATTTGATAATGTTGATTTTCATGTACGATTTAGATTATCAAAAGAATCTGTTATTGCAGTTCTAGCAGAAATCGAACATGAAATTTTTCATAAAACAGAACACTAAGTATTGGGTGAGTGCAAAAGTTCGTGCGGAGTTTCAATAGATGGAGTTATAAGCGTCATAAAGTGTTGTCATTAATACTTCCATCTATATATTATATAACGTTGGAAAGGTGACGTCTTCAGCTGTTATTAAAAAAAAATCATTTGTTTTCATATAAACTGCTTCGAGAAATATCACTTTAAAAATGAGTATCGATAAGATGCATTTACGGCATGTTATGTTTTACGAGTTTCGGAAGGGAATAAACGTTGCCGCAGCCGTAAAAAACATTCAGGATGTTTATCAGGATGAAGCACCAGCTAAACGAACTGTGGAAAAATGGTTTGCTAAATTTCGGCGCGGAGAATTTAACCTTGAAGACAAGCCACGCTCTGGTCGACCTTCTGACATTGATGACGATGTTTTGCGTACTTTAGTGCTCAATAATCCGCGAATTTCAACAGAAGAAGTTGCTACAGCACTAAACGTTGACCGATCAACCGCTTTTCGGCGTTTAAAAAAGATGGGATTCGATTTGAAGCTCGATATATGGGTGCCCCATTTGCTGACCGAGAAGAACAAAATCAAGCGAATTTCTGCAGCCGTTTCTTTACTCGGGCGGCTCAATAACGAGTCGTTTTTGGATCGACTAGTGACGGGCGATGAGAAATGGGTCCTCTACAACAATGTTCAGCGCAAACGGACATGGAAACAATCAGGTGAGCATGGTGACGCAATGCCAAAGGCCAGTTTGCACCCGATGAAGGTGATGCTCTCTGTTTGGTGGGATTGCAAGGGCATAATCTATTTCGAGCTTCTCCCCGCTGGCGAAACGATTGATTCGGACAAGTACTGTCGCCAATTAACCAATCTGAATCGAGAAATAAAAGAGAAACGTCCGATTTTGTCAAATCGCAAGGGAGTCGTCTTTCATCACGACAACGCCAGACCACACGTTTCGAAAAAGACGCTGCGCAAACTGAAGAGCCTGAAATGGGATGTCTCAACGCATCCACCGTATTCTCCTGATATCGCACCATCTGACTATCACTTGTTCCGGTCATTGCAAAATTATTTAAATGGAAAAAACTTTGACTCTTTGGAGGCCTTAAAAAACGGCGTCTCTTCGTTCTTCGAATCTAAACCGCGCAGTTTTTATGATCGAGGCATCCGTATGCTGCCAGAACGTTGGGAAAAGATTATAGAAAACGATGGAGAATATATCATTGATTGAATAAAGATTTTTGGTTGCCTAATCACTGTATGACTTTTACTCACAAACTCCGCACGAACTTTTGCACTCACCCAATATATAAATTTAATTTAAAATATTGGGTTTTTTACTTCGATAGATTATATTCTAAAATAGAGTATAAAACTATATATAAAAGTCAATTATTATATGATAAATGCAATTAAATCAATAATATAAACTAATTGATTATTATTAACACTGGACTTCCACCTTTTAATAAATTAATACTTATATACAAATACAGCAAATGTTAGTGTTGGTTAGTGTTTACTTCATACGAAACAGATATATTGTTCTCTACTAGATGTCATAGCATCCAACTTATTTCAATTTTCCCTCTTTTCACAATTAGCAACAACCAATCATACTCTACGTTTGAAAAGAAATAGAAGTCTTTGACAGTTTCTTCATACAGACTATAGGTTTAAGTAAACTACAGTTAAAAACATGATGTGGAACGCGATATAAGTTTAACCATGCCGTTAAATGTAATATCAGTTCAGATAATCACGGTTTAAACTTGATTTTGTGGAACTGGGCCTTAGTGATACATTACAACAGTTCGGATGTTCTGCTGAACGCTCTTCGTACTCGGCAGAGTGATATATAATATATACATATATATATATATATATATATACATATATACATCTATGCCGGCGCGCTCCTCAGATTTCTGTCATTAATAACTCGATAATTATTGCGAATCTCGCAAAATGGTATGGGACTTTTATGTTTATCTTAACCCAATCTACCTTCACACTTCGGGTTGGCAACTTATAATCACCCACCCTGTAGACGCTCCGCGGCAAGCTGTATGCGTAGGAGCTGAGCAATAACACATCTCGCGCTGACTGTCGCGATGGCGTCTTGGCGCTTTGACGCCGCGCGACGGTCAGCGCGAGCCGCGTTATCGCTCAGCCCCTACTATACAGCTTGCCGCGGAGCGTCTATAGGCCGCGCTGGAAAACGCCTAACTTTAGGCTGTTATTACTAAAAAACTATTACGATTTTCACATTATGGTAGAGGACTTTTTTGTTCCTCTCACTTAGCTCTATGTGTCCTACGGAGCCCGTGTCCCAAAGTTCTGAGACACCCTGTATATGGTATATATATTTGTAAACATCGAACTAACCTTTCATTACTTGCTGTAAAATGGATCTACATACATTTTTATTATTCAGCTATTATATTTGATACACTTATTACATTAAAAAAGATCTATATAAAATTTGAAACGTTTCTTCTTATTTTTGCTGTGTGGCTTTATTCTAACCTATGCATTATCTATAATATGCATTAATATACTTTGATGTGAGTATAATTATATATTTTATTATTAAATTAGTTATATATATCTTTTTCTAATTGCTCGTGCATTTCTATTGAATCTATATTATATATAACGTCTTTATATGTGTTTCACATAAATTGGGGGCATCTATCTTGCTCAACATGTGCTTAGATTCAGCTTACTTTCAGTTCGCTGAAAATATGGCAATCGCTGACTAACGCTGAGTAACATGTTGAACTGCTGAGTCCGTTTAATACTGTTCAGAAGAAAATCATAAAACGGTTTTGCAACTGTTTTGTCCTGCTTGAACGCAGCCAATGTTCCGATATGAGTTGCAGTACACTGCGAAAGCACTTTTATAAGTGTATGACGTCATTAATTTCGGTGTCACTTCCTGCTGCGGCTACTGCAGCTAGCGACGTAAAGCAGCCACAGTACAAAATAGCTGCTTACATAGATTTAAACCTGATTGAGGATAAGAAATTAACAAAATGTATACAATAGCTGTAAAAATTTAATATGTATTAAATTATTAATATAAATGCACATTTCAAATACACAGTTCAAAAGACAACTTAGTAGGACATATTATAAATATGAATTAATATAAGAAATATGATTGTAATTATTTTAGTATACGATTATGTTTTTAACTTTGTGCTTAATAATTTACCGAAAATGCATTTTAAATTTCACATCAGAATATGCTAATATAAATATGCTAATATAAAATATAATATTTTTCACATAATTTTTGGATTTTACTTGTACCCGAGATTGTGCAACTAGCTGTTATATTATTTTTATGTCTAAATTGCTTTCGCTTTATTCTTCATCTATATTTTGTCTTATTATAGTTACAATTAATGTGATATATAGTTATATTGGCATTTGAGATTTCACTCATGTTTGTAAACAGATGCACCGGTAACAAACCATAAACACAAGCTTCGCGGAGCTACTGTGGTACGTTCCGATTTGTAACGTTGCAATACCTCGACAGTTTTCGAAAACGGAACGCTACTAACAGTACTTTTATGACATCATAGTCAGTACTTGCAGTAAATAAAGGAACACACCCATAAGTGGTGGTTTTATCACTTTAGTTTGAATGCATTTTACTGTAAAGTTTAAATGTTTATAACTTTTAATAGAAGTATTTTTTAAAGAAATGTTTCGGATAAAGTTTACTTGTTTCTTTCCATAGAATTCAAATGTATAACATTTTATAGGAGGTCCCATTTGAAATTACGAAGTTACTCCTCACCCCCTTCAGGGGAGAGCAAAGGCAGACTTTTATTTGTATAGTTAGAAAGACCTCTCCAATATATGAAAAAGTTTCATGAACAATTTTTGATACGACAAATATTTTTAGAATTTTTAGGTAGTCACATTTTACATGGGCCACTCTATATACTACATATGCATATTAATTCAGTGCTCTTTTGTTGCAAAATTTAAAACTGTTAAAGCGACCGGGACAAAGATGGTAATCTCTGCTAGGTTTAGCAAGTAAATTTTGTAAAACATAGAATTCCCAGCCTAAAGCATAGATTATTATATGTTTCATTTTTTTTTTGCGATATGTAACATGGTATGCATTGTTGGGGTATGTAATGAGTGTTGTGATGCAAAATAATTTGCATACGTAGTTCCATTATTAATATACTATCTCTTTTGCTTCAATTCATTATTCAAATGGACAACTTGCTGTTGGCCTTACAGTAACAATTTGACTAGGCTTTAACAACTCATAGTGTGTACCACACACTTTATCTTATCAGACATATAGTAAAATCTTCTTGGCATGAAAGCTTTAAAATCGATATCGACGTGATGTACTCAGGATTTTCTGAATTTAGCATTATCATATAACATCCATTTTTCATCATAATAAATTTTGTGTAAAATATCTAAAAATTCTTTTAAGCCAGCTCAGCAAAAGTATGTTATATCGAACTTTCGTTTTTTATTTTTCGAACTAAACTCGTGCTAAATCTATTTTCTTTGCAATTGTAGTCACAAACCGCAACTAATGCAAGCGCGTGGATACTATTGATAAATAACTTCAAATTGTAATTGTAAGATCCTATGAATTTGAGCTCAGTTTTCGTTTAATAGTTACATGATTTCCTCGTCTTGAAATTTTTTTGGCTGGCCAGAACGTACTCGATCCGTTATCATAAAATTCACATTATAAAATTTATGATATCACTTTTTACATATTTTATTCATGATTCATGAATTGTAGCACCTTTATCTAAAGCAGGAAATATAATTTCTGCTTTAGTAACATTCTTGTTTTAATTGAACTAAGAAAAGAATGCAATGCTTTAATATTGCCTTTCGGATATCATCGCATTTATTACAATTTTGTAAAGTTATTTCGCTAAAATGTATAAAGTTTTGAAAACAAAAGCGGAACAAATTATCACATATTAATCCTTTGCGGACGAATTTTTCCTTAACTCCAATTCCCAGCAAGTCGAGCATATTCTCTATACAAAACAAAATTATACATAAAGACTTAAATATTGGAATAAAAAGATAAAGAAAAATATATATTGCTTTATGAAAATCTTCGCGAATAACTTCGCGATGCCTTAAAGCATCGCACGGCTTTCTGAGGAGTACATATAGCGATGACTATAGTCATTCGGACTTAGAAGGTTAAGCGTTTACGTGTATGATAATATATTTACCAATGACATATTTGTTAACAGCATATTTATAACTTTTAACAATGAGTGACGACTAAATTTTTTTAATCGTTATTCAAGGTAATAACTTTGACAACATATATCCAAAATCAAATTTATTGGAAGTGTGTTTCTTTTCGTTACTTCTATCTGCTTGTACAATATATTCAAAACTACAAAAATTAGTTTGAACATTAATGCAAACAAAAAAAATAATATAAATGATATATGTCAGATAATGGTAACAATATAATTGACTATAAGATTGCAATCAAGATGCAAAATAATGTATCTCAGAAACTATGTGCGACTTCCATATAATAAAGTAAATATTATTTATAAAGAAGGTTCAGGAAACCGAAAATTCCCAAAAATTTGAATTTTTGCAGAATTATTGCAAAATCAAGAGAATTGCAGAAATAAAGTATGTAAACTTAATCACCTAACTATTTTTCAATTTAGGTAAAAAACGGTTCTCGAAATAAAAATGTCCCTTGAAAGAAAATCGGTTTTATCATATTTTTATTAATATCTCTGAAGCCATATATAAAATTTTATTATGTACAATGGCCTTTAACGTTATAATTAAATTTAAAAGAAAAAGAAAAACAATTTTTAATCCTCTTCTACTTATTTTTGAAAAATTTTATCGTTCTTTTTTTTTTTTAATAATAGGTCGTGAGGAACCAATGTTGTATTCGCTTTGGTCACCAGATTTACCATTCCCTGATTCTTTTTTATGAGAATTTATTAAAAACTTTGCTCGACTAACAAATATAAGAAATAATATGAAAAACTAAATATGTACAGTCTGCAGAAATACTAAATACGTTTCTATGTTAGAATGAATTCGTTTATATATCAGAAGACAAGAACATGTTTTTGAACATCTGATCAATGGTTAGGCAGTTATATATACATGTCAAAAGCAAGGGCACTCAAGCTGATTAAGCACTGATTAAGCTGATGAAAATATTTATTATGAGAAACAAGGAGACTCATTTCGATTAAGCACCCTGCTTATGAAATGCAAAGGGATTTACACTAATAAAACTTTCCAAAAGGAATATATATCCATCATGTCGTCGTTGGATAATGCTAAGAACGGAAACTTACATATCTACAACTATCCATGCACACATAGGTAGAAACATACGTAAATACGTGTACGCATCATTGTTGTATTTTTCATTTTCATATTAAATAACTTCTAAACTATTGGATTTAGGTTATATATGTCTTAAGGATTTTCTAGAATCGAATAAAATTAAACGATTTTTTAAGAATTTGCTACTAAAAATACAACTTCCTATTAAAAAAAAAATGTTTATCACCATATATAATTTTAACAAGTGACCGTAGTTAAAACTTAATACCACCGTCTTTTTTATTTTGTAAAATTCAATAAATTTTATCTGGAACATTTTTATCTGTCGGGCCCAATTTTCGAGATATTCGGTTTGCCTATTTAAAATAGATTAAACCAATCGTAGCGCACTCAGTGAATGTGAATCCTGGTACATTGTATATAATATACTGTATATAATATAGTATGTCTGAAAATATTTAATTTTATTGTAGCATCGACACAAGTGGTACTGACAGTACAGCAGAAACCAATGACGAGTAGTACAGTGGCAGTAGTCGCGACAGCGACAGCTACATCAACAACAGCAACAACAACTTCCGGTTTACAAGTCGGAGTTGGTGTGGGAGCCGCCACTATCACCATCACTACCACCAGTGCTACCATCACTAGCACTACAGCCACCGCTGCAGTGAATCAACAACATCAACGGCCGATCAGCCTATCAGCAGCTGGAAACATGTCACCTTCACAACCGGCGATTTCTTTGCATAGAGCATCCACCGCACCTGCTGGTGGAGCCCCATGTAATGCTCGAATTACAGGCCCGCAACCAGTTGATGTAAATAACAACGTATTAAATACCCTGGAACAGATTGTTTTTACTATGTTCACTATTTTATAAATAAACTCTCCTCAACGAGATGTCTATTGGATATACGTGTAAGAAAGTAAGATTCTCAGTAGACCCTCTCATGTTATATAAAAACAAATTTTTCTGAATCAATTAACTACCAGTTCAAAGCAGTTAAATTTCACATTTTTTATTGAAGATTAAATTAATTATTAAGATCGGAATACATGACAGTTATTCATTTTTTAATTAAGGGGGAAATTATATGTCGGAGGCCGTTTTCAAGGTTATTTTTACGAATTTTTTTAATAGAAACGGTAAGATCAATGGACTTGAAATTTTCACAGTGTATTCATTAATGTTCAAAGTATAAAATAAATTTTATTGAATCATAAGAACCGATCCAATTTGTAATTAAGACTGATAAAACTGCAATCATCTGTTTGCGAGCTTTATGTTTGCTATTGGCATAATTCCGGGCTTCTCATTACTCTAAAACCAAAAAATGAGAAAGATTTTTAAAATATATGGTTGCTATTATAGCACCAAAATGAAGGCAATAAAGCCAAATTTAGAAAAATAATGACTACAAAAAATGTATCGAAAATGAAACTTTCTTCAACTTGTAATTATGTTTAAAAAAATTAATAAAATAAAATATAACTGTGTTCGAGCGAAAATTACATATACTGTATATTGTGTAAAAATTTCGTACTATATCTACTGTATATTGTGTAAAAATTTCAAGTTTTTTGTTCGTTATTAAACTTGTTTCAAGTTATTAAATTCAAGTTTAATAGTTTTTGCGTAATCGTGTCGACAGTTTAAGAAAATTGTGTTTCCAGATAAACGCGTTTAAAGTTTTATATGTATTTTCCATATAGCAGTAACAAATTTATTTTATACTTTGAATATTAATGAATACACTGGAAATTTCAAGTTCATTGATCCTACCATTTCTGTTTAAAAAATTCATAAAAATAGCCTTGAAAACGGACTGCTCTATATGTAATTCCTCTCTTAATATTTAAAAGAAATATTAATTTGGAAAATATCAATACAGTGTGCCTAAAAATTCTTGACATAATTGTCGTGTACGAGTATAACAGATCAAACTGGGAAGAAAAATGATGTACCAAGCTGCAAATTTTGCAAGTTTTTAAGAATTAATTAAATGAGCGAATGCCGCATACACATATACACACATAAGAAACGGTAGAACGAAATCTATGGACATGATTAATGAAACACGGTTTTCAGTTTGAAAGAGAAAGATATCTTGATTTTTAGAATTTCTTAGAAAAAAGCCTGAAACTGGCTACTATTATGGCTAGACTAATGTAGCTGTTATTATATATAATGTAGCTATATGTGTTATGCTTGTTGGCGCGATTGTTCGTTGGTGGTAAAACAAAGATAAGAACATTGATTTGTGTATTTTGATCTAACCTTCATTGTGGACATAACACAAAATATATTAAGAAAATGTAAACATTACTTGTTATCCATTGTGTAATCCAGAAAAATCGTGGCTATTGGTTATGTAGTTTATGTCCATAAAATGGATGTAAAGGCGTTTCAAAATAAAAGTAATAGCTGCATTGTGGTCATGACCATTCTAAGACTTCTTTCTGCTTTAATAACAACGAATATTAGCTAATAATGCGAAGTGGAAAAATATAGTGGGCGACATGTGATATAAGTTCGTGTATCGAGAAAAGCACGTCTCTCCTTGTCAGTTGACTTACTTAGGGACATAGCTCATTGAATAGCGTAAGTGGCAAGAAATAAACAGTAAGCGAATCAACCATAGTTGAAAATGTAAGTAATCATCGTTTCACCTATAATTAGCTGATTTTATTAGCCAGCTTACTGTTTATATCTTATTGCTTATGTTTTTCTATGTGCTATCCGCTTTATTATTGCTAGGAGATTCTAAGAAGTAAGTCATATTTGTTACAAATTTGAACAAATCTATCTTTCATTAAACATTTTAATAGACTTATCTATCATTAAACACAACTAGAGTGTTCTACCGTTTCCCGTGCGTTCATTCGTTCATATTGCTTCATTGATTTTTGCGTAATCATTGTGAAATTTGTAAAATGGCACGTGCCTTTTCAATTTAACCCTTTTACTTATATATTTTACTTACGATGACTGAAATAAAAATTTTCAGACACTATGTCTAAAAACAAATAATTAAAAAAATTAAAATGTAATGTGATAAGTAATAATATTTCTTGATATTTTTTTAAAGAGAAAATAGTCATCAAAATAAACAAAAAAAGTTATAGTTATAGGAACATTTAACCATTTTGCATTATTTTATTGTGTATTATCATATATTATTGTATATTGCCACTTAAAAAATTATTATTTTTGTTTTTATAGCATGAAAAGAAGCGGCAATTGGAAACGCAAAGAGTTCATACCTTCCAACTTATGTTGGAGAAAGAACAAAGTTACGTGGATAAATTACGAAGCGAATTAGCTAAGACTGGCACTGGCAGTAGCAGTGGTAGTGTCAATGTCACGGCTTTGCAGACTGAACTGTCGGGTGCTGAAAGAAGAGTACGCACTTTGCAGGAACAACTTGCAGCAATTACAACTAATGAACAGGTCAGCATATTTATTCTGAGATTCAATGTGCGCGCTTTTTTATGTTGTAGACTTTTTTAATCTTAAGTTAGTCATCTAAATGTGCGTTCATATTGGGAATTATCTAGTATGTTTAAGTATAAAAATATAAGGGAACTGTGTAACTTGATCCGAAATGTCTCCATCTTGAATAGCTTTATTCAATGTAGCGCAAACCAATATATAAATATTATAATAATATTTTTGGCGTTTATATTAAATTTAATATAAAATAGCCAAAAATTTTTATAAATTAACTTTTATCAATATTTCAAAATTATTTTCAATATTTTAAATATGCATACGGAATGGGCCATTTTAATATTTTGGCGGTCGTATATCTTTTATGGAAATATTTTCATTTATATACTGCCTTTCGTTTAAATACTACCATCTATCATCGATATTTTCCTTGAAGTTGTTCATAGCATAAGTAGCGAAGTTATACTTATGTAAACTCAGTTGATAATCATCAGCTTCATAAAATCATGTATAACAGATGCTGTAAAAGTATTTATATAAAAGTTTAATTAGTTCAATTATTCAGTTATTTCTTATCTTATGTAAACAATGACTCAAATAATAATTGATTCCAAGAATGACACATATAATTTTGTATTAATCTCAGATTATTCGAGTTTACTTATTGCAACAAGGTTATATTGAATTTTCCAAACGACGTCATATATTTATTTTTACAATTTTAAATAAGGCATTTCTTCGATTTAAAGATGATCTAAATTAAAGATGATTAAAGAATTATCTATGTATAGGATTGTTTAGGGTGGCTCAAATAATTTGTTATAAGCTGTTTTCTCCAAAATCATTGATACGAGAGACTTGGTTTTTTTCTTTTTCATTTCTCTCTCTCCTTTTTTTGTATGGGCTGGCTATTTGACGTATAAAAAAGATTTTTGTAAGGAATTTTGAAAAGGATAAAAAAACTCTTCTTATTTCTTTTTTTTAAAGGAACGAAATATCCTTTTTTTCTATTTGGATAACTCATCAAAATTAATAAATTTATTTGAAATATTTCTTTTTATTCTGTATTATTAGAGTTATGGAAAAAGGTATATTTCCAAGGGTAATCTTGGGACAATGTTGGAAAAGATATCAAAATATATTAAAAAACAGAATAAACATATTTTGATTTGAAAATCATTTTATTAAATGTACAAAGTAATATTTTATCATTTCAGACTTCTAAACTCGTATTAATATATATGAGTATTATATTCGAATTTGTTATGTGTTATATTTGCGAATATTGTTTTGGACATCTGATAACATTAATGGAGTAACTGATTTGCAAGAAGTACATACTCTTATCTTCATATCTTCCTTAATCATAAGAGTGATAGCTTTATGTTCCGTATAATGCTATAAAAAAAATCTAATAGAATTAAATCTGATCGAGGTAGTCACAAAGGTTGACCGCTTATTTATTATATTGTGTTTGAGCCACAAGGATTGTGGCAGCGTCCGTTGTCTGCGAGCCTTAGGCATCCGATTTTGACAACTGAAGGAAGATTGTCTGGACGACGAAAAAAAATCGATGGAAACCGAACAGCTGAGAGATTGAGCTCGAGCCGTCAACACGGGCTGACATGCAGCGTTCGGTGTCGGCTCTGTAATAATTCTCACGCAAGAGAGTTTGCGGCGGTTCAGCTTTGCTGTAAATAAAGCTTTTCGTTCTTTTACCCAGTGTTCAGTGATTTCTCTTCGCACGTTGGAATTCGTCTCGCGAGTGCGCGACAATATTTTTTTCCCAAATTTTGTATCTAAATAACACACGTGTTGGGACATCATTTAGCGAAGTATGCTGGAGCTATGCTGGAAAAATATCTTACTTCTTTAGTCCAATTGAATATTTTCTAGAAGCATGAGAAGAACATTTATTAAAAAGTCAGTATTAATCAATGTATTTGTTAAAGGCTGTTCGAAGAAGTATAGTACAGTTACATAGTTTTCAACAATTTCGCACCACACATTTAATGACTAACGTTCTTGAAATAGAATAACTTGCAATCAATGGAAATTTTCATTTGATCAGTAGTACAAGTCATTAAATCACTTAGCCAGTGTTTGAAAATGTAGTTCCGTCGGAAAGACACACAACTAACGATAAGAACAAATTGTTTTCTGTGATGATATTACAAAACCACCTAACTTAAACCAAAAAGTACAAAAAGTAATTCGATTTTGAAAATCATTTACGAAAAGATGTTGATGAAGACATATGTATTGTAAGACAATAATATGGATAACATTTGTGCTGTTAGTGATATTTTTCTAATTAAAGTACGGCTAATTCCATTATCTTATATAAGTTGTCAGATACTAATTTGTGATTCAACTTTCATCACTGCCAAAACTGCAACATCATTTGTACCATGCATTAACATCATTTGTACCATGTTTTGGCTTGCAACGCGTTTTGTTATGAAAAGAACCAGTTTTTGGAAGATACTTTTCTAAATGTAAAAATGCCATATGCGATTTTTGTATCTGGAAACGCTTACAAAGGAAGTATCAGAGATTGCCTCCTTCGATTTTGCCGAATATAATATACAGGGTGTTTCAAAAAGAATGTCCCGATTTGAAAATTGTATATCTCTACAACCACGAACTACAAATGAATGCGACTTGTACTACGTGAACGGCCTTGGCCCAGAGTTTGACACGACTACTGCTAAATGTCATTATTGCCGCCCAAACAGCCGCTACGCTTAGTTGGAAGATGGCGTCTAGTCAACAGAAGGCGTTTTGTATTCTCGAATTTAGCAAAACTGAGTCCGTGATTACGGTTCAGCGTGTGTTTAGACGACATTACAGAATTTATCCATCACTGGAGAAAAACATTCGTCGTTGGTATCGACAACTGCAAGAAACAGAGCGTTTATGTAAGAGAAAGAGTCCTGGACGCATCCCAGAGGAAAATATACAGGGTGTCTCAGAACTTTGGGACACGGGCTCCGTAGGGACATAGAGCTAAGTGAGAGGAACAAAAAATTCCTCTACCATAATGTGAAAATCGTAATAGTTTTTTAGTAATAACCGCGTAAAGTTTGGCGTTTTCCATGTCCAGCGCGGCCTATAGACGACCTCTGTGAAGTTGACCCCACCTTTTCAAAATTTGAAAAAAATGAGCAGAGTTCTGATTGCCCCCCAAAGAGTTCTAGAGTCCTCTATCAATAAAAAAAAGAGTTCCGTTGATTAAAGTGGTCAAAACACGAAATAAAGTTATGGGGGGCCAAATTCACAATTGCGTAAATTTACCTTAAACTTTAGCGCTTTGATGCTTGAAGAAAATCGATAGAACTCTTCGGGGGGCTACCAGAACTCACAAGAAATTAACCGATTATCGAAAAAAATTTTCTATTAGAAAATTCGGCATCTGCGATATTTTGATGAGCTAGAACTTTTTCATTTCTGCTCGAATCGATTCGAGTCATAAGGAAAACCAATAGAACTCTTCGGGGGGCTACCAGAACTCTCAAGAAATTGAACGATTTCCGAAAAAAATTTTTCTGTTAGAAAATTCTGCATCTGTCATACTTTGATGAGCTAGAACTTTTTCATTTCTGCTCGAATCGATTCCAGTCATAAGGAAAACCGATAGAACTCTTCAGGGGGCTACCAGAACTCTCAAGAAAATGACCGATTTCTGAACAAAATTTTTCTCTTAGGTGGACTTAGAAAATTCTGCATCTGTGATAATTTGATGAGCTAGAACTTTTTCATTTCCGCTCGAATCGATTCGAGTCATAAGGAAAACCGATAGAACTCTTCGGGGGGCTACCAGAACTCTCAAGAAATTGACCGATTTCCGAAAAAAATTTTTCTCCTAGGTGGACTTAGAAAATTCTGCATCTGTGATACTTTTATGAGCTAGAAATTTTTCATTTCCGCTCGAATCGATTCGAGCAGAAATGAAAAAGTTTTAGCTCATCAAAGTATCACAGATGCAGAATTTTCCAATAGAAAAAACTTTTTCGGAAATCGGTCAATTTCTTGAGAGTTCTGGTAGCCCCCCGAAGAGTTCTATCGGTTTTCCTTATGACTCGAATCGATTCGAGCGTAAATGAAAAAGTTCTAGCTCATCAAAGTATGACAGATGCAGAATTTTCTAAGAGAAAAATTTTTTTCGGAAATCGTTCAATTTCTTGAAAGTTCTGGTAGCCCCCCGAAGAGTTCTATCGGTTTTCCTTATGACTCGAATCGATTCGAGCGGAAATGAAAAAGTTCTAGCTCGTCAAAGTATCACAGATGCAGAATTTTCCAATAGAAAAAACTTTTTCGGAAATCGTTCAATTTCTTGAGAGTTCTGGTAGCCCCCCGAAGAGTTCTATCGGTTTTCCTTATGACTCGAATCGATTCGAGCGGAAATGAAAAAGTTCTAGCTCATCAAATTATCACAGATGCAGAATTTTCTAAGTCCAACTAGGAGAAAAATTTTTGTTCGGAAATCGGTCAATTTCTTGAGAGTTCTGGTAGCCCCCCGAACAGTTCTATCGGTTTTCCTTATGACTCGAATCGATTCGGGCAGAAATGAAAAAGTTCTAGCTCATCAAAATATCGCAGATACTGCAATTTTTTTTTTTTTTTTTTTTTTTTTTTCTGTCATTTTTTTTCTTATGTCAATTTCTTGTGAGTTCTGGTAGCCCCCCGAAGAAAAAAAAAAAAAAAAAAAAAAAAGAGTTCTATCGATTTTCTTCAAGCATCAAAGCGCTAAAGTTTAAGGTAAAAAAGTTATGACCTTTTGAAATTTACGCAATTGTGAAGTTGGCCCGCCATAACTTTATTTCGTGTTTAGACCACTCTAATCAACGGAACTCTTTTTTTTATTAATAGAGAACTCTAGAACTCTTTGGGGGGCAATCAGAACTCTGCTCATTTTTTTCAAATTTTGAAAAGGTGGGGCCAACTTCACAGAGGTCTATAGACGCTTCGCGGCAAGCTGTATGCGTAGGGGCTGAGCG